CAGAGATAAGGCTGAGTACCTTATCTTGGGGACACTATGGATGTCACCCACTTTTATATATGATATAAACAATGTGATCGCTAAATTGTACATTTGGAGACATGTGAGTGAGGGCGTCCTATGCAATGAGTATTGCATAAGATCAGACCATGAAGAAAATCACTCACTTTATAATGTCGTTTACTGTGAGACTGATTTTTTCATTAGATGATCTAGGTAACTCGATCTTAATCCTGAGCTAACCATGAACTCCTGTTTATTCAAAATTATCCTTAGATTTGCATGGGTGAGAGTGGCCCGATGAGCTAACCATGAACTCCTGTTTATTCAAAATTATCCTTAGATTTGCATGGGTGAGAGTGGCCCGAGTTTGCCGACTCAATAAGCCTCCCATTTCAAGGGTAAGACTGGGTGAATCTATGAAATGTTGAGCTAACCATGAACTCCTGTTTATTCAAAATTATCCTTAGATTTGCATGGGTGAGAGTGGCCCGATGAGCTAACCATGAACTCCTGTTTATTCAAAATTATCCTTAGATTTGCATGGGTGAGAGTGGCCCGAGTTTGCCGACTCAATAAGCCTCCCATTTCAAGGGTAAGACTGGGTGAATCTATGAAATGTAGGTCCATTAGGTTAGGTCTTGAACAAGAGGCCCACCCTCTCATTAGTTTGAGAGGATCAGTGGAACATAAGGAACAAGAAGTAACTTCAGGGGTAAAACAACCTGTGAAGGATATGCTATAGTGGAGTGTCCCAGTTAATCTGTGAAATGTAGGTCCATTAGGTCCCTCTGCTAGCTCATATCGAACTAAACCATAGAACAGTGTTGAGTCTGTGGAATTTTGAGGTGTCAAAATTTGGTTAACTCAAAGACCTTGAGAGTATTAAGGGTTCTAAGAGTGCCTTTCCATCATCTACAATTAGGTCCCTGCCGAGAATTGAACTATAGTCTGTATCGTGGCAGGGTACTATTTACTACTAGACCACTTGTGCTTCTACCTTTAGACATATCCATAACGTACTCGTATTTTCGTCATGCAGTTCTTCCGAAATCCATAAATTTGAGCTTCACCTCTTGATTTAAAAAGAAAAAAAGAAAAGAAATGCTCGATAGTGCTACTCGTGTCATCTATAAATTAGACAATATCGTGATAGACCCAAGAGAATTGAACTTGGGTATGTACCATAAATTTGAGTTTCACCTCTCGATTTAAAAAGAAAAAAAGAAATCATCATTGATAATCTTCAAGATGCACCAACAGAGAATTGAACTCAAGTCTGTACTAGGCTAAGGTACTATCCTACACCTAGACCACTAGTGATTCTACCTTTAGACATGTCCATAACGTACTTGTATTTTTGTCATGCATTTCTTCCGAATTCAATAAATTTTAGTTTCACCTCTCGATTTAAAAACAAAAGCTCGATAGTGCTACTCGTGTCATCTATAAATTAAATGAAATAGTGATAGACCCAAGTTCTCACAATAAGCACTAATTTCATCATTCCTAATCTTGGAGATATTATTCTACCGCTAGACCACTAGTGCTTTTACCTTTAGACATATCCATAACGTACTCATATTTTTGTCATGCAGTTCTTCCGAATTCAATAAATTTGAGTTTCACCTCTCGATTTAAAAAGAAAGGCTCCATAGTGCTACTCGTTTCATCTGTAAATAAGATGAAATCATGATAGACCTCAGTTCTTACATCCAGCCGAAAATCAAACTCGGGTCTGTATTGTAGCAAGGTACTATTCTAACACTAGACCACCAGTAGTGCTTCTACCTTTAGACATATCCATAACGTACTCGTATTTTCGTCATGCAGTTCTTCCGAATTCCACAAATTTGAGTTTCAAAAGAAAAGAAATTCCATAAATTTGAGTTTCAAAAGAAAAGAAATGCTCGATAGTGCTACCCGTGTCATCTATTATAGATTGGAAGAAATCGTGAAGATGCACCAACCAAGAATCGAACTTAGGTTTGTACCATGGCAAGGTACTATTCTACCACTAGACCACTAGTGCTTCTACCTTTAGACATATCCATAACGTACTCGTATTTTTGTCATGCAGTTCTTCCGAATTTCATAAATTTGAGTTTCACCTCTCGATTTAAAAAGAAACGCTCGATAGTGCTACTCGTGTCATCTATAAATTAAATTAGATGAAATCGTGATAGACCTAAGTTCTCACAATAAGCACTAATTTCATAATTGCTAATCTCGAAGATGCACAAGCCGAGAATTAAACTCAGGTCTGTATCGTGGCAGGGTACTATTCTACCACTACACCACTAGTGCTTCTACCTTTATTCATATCCATAACATACTCGTATTTTTATCATGCAGTTCTCGATAGTGCTACTCGGTGTCATATATACATTAGATGAAATCGTGATAGACCTTAGTTCTCACAACAAGCACTAGTTTCATAATTACTAATCTTAAAGATGCACCAGTTGAAAATCGAACTGGAGTCTGTACCGTGACAAGGTACTATTCTACCACTAGACCAATAATGCGTCTACCTTTAGACATATCCATAATGTACTCGTATTTTCATCATGCAGTTCTTCCGAATTCCATAAATTTGAGTTTCACCTCTCGATTTAAAAAGGAAAAAAAAAACAAAGAAATGCTCGATAGTTCTACTCGTGTTATCTATAAATTTTAGATGATATCGGGATAGACCCAAGTTCCCACAATAAGCACTAAAATTTCATCATTGCTAATCTACAAAGATGCACCAGCCAAGAATCAAACTCATGTCTATACTATGGCAGGGTACAATTCTACCACTAGACCACTGGTGCTTCTACACATATCCATAACGTAATTGTATTTTCATTATGCAGTTCTTCCGAATTCCATATATTTGAGTTTCACCTCTTGATTTAAAAAGAAAAAAAGAAACGAAATTCTCGCGATAGTGCTAGACCAAAGTTCTCATACTAAGCACTAATTTCATCATTGTTAATCTTCAAGATGCACCAACCGAAAATTGAACTCAGGTTTATACTGTGGCAAGATACTATTCTACCACATATCCATAACTTTCTTGTATTTTTGTCATGTAGTTCTTCCGAAGTCCATAAATTTGAGTTTCACCTCTAGATTTAAAAAAAAAAAAAAAAAGTAAAACTCGATAGTGCTACCTCGTGTCATCTATAGAATCCCATGTTCTCACGTGAAGCACTAATTTCAACATTGCTAATCTAGCAAGGTGCACCAATCGAGAATCGAATTCAGGTCTGTACTGTGGCAGGGTACTATTTTACCACTAGATGCTTCTACCTTTAGACATATTCATAACGTACATGTATTTTTGTCATGCAATTCTTTCAAAGTTAATAAATAGAAACCCATGAAACAAAATATAGTGGGTCATCTATATATTATTAGATGATATAATAATTTCATTATTGCTAATCCATCTACAAGATGCAAGCCGAGAATCGAACACGGGTCTATACCGTGGTAGGGTACTATTCTACCACTAAACTTTAGGTGCTTCTACCCTTCGATATATCCATAACGTACTCGTATTTTTGTGATATAGTTCTTCCGAATTCTATAAAGTTGAGTTTCACCTCTTGATTTAAAAAAAGAAAAGTTCAATAGTGCTACACGTGTCATCTACAAATTAGATGATATCGTGATAAACCCGAGTTCTCACAATAAGCACTAATTTGCACTAATTTCATCATTGCTAATCTTCAAGATGCACGATTTCTCACAATAAGCACTAATTTACACTAATTTCATCATTGCTAATCTTCAAGATGCACGAGAATCAAACTTAAGTCTGTACCTTAGTTGTACCACTGGTGCTTCTACCTTCACACATATCCTTCAAGATGCACGAGTTCTCACAATAAGCACTAATTTGCATTAATTTCATCATTGCTAATCTTCAAGATGCACGAGTTCTCACAATAAGCACTAATTTGCATTAATTTCATCATTGCTAATCTTCAAGATGCACCCCCGAGAATCAAACTCAAGTCTGTACCTTAGTTGTACCACTGGTGCTTCTACCTTCACACATATCCTTCAAGATGCACGAGTTCTCACAATAAGCACTAATTTGCATTAATTTCATCATTGCTAATCTTCAAGATGCACCCCCGAGAATCAAACTCAAGTCTGTACCTTAGTTGTACCACTGGTGCTTCTACCTTCACACATATCCATAACGTACTGTCATCTATAAAATTAGATGATATCGTGATAGACCCAAGTTCCTCACTTGAAGCATTATTTCATCATTGGCTACTCTTCATCAAGATGCACCATGCACCAGTCGAGAATCGAACTCGGGTCTATACTGTGGTAGGGTACTATTCTACCACTAGACCACTGGTGCTTCTACCTTTTGACATATCCCTAACGTACTCGTATTTTCGTCAAGCAGTTCTTCCGAATTCCATAAATTTGAGTTTCACCCCTCAATTTAAAAAGGAAAAAAAGAAAAGAAATGCTCGAGTGTCATCTATAAATTAGATTATATTGTGATAGACCAAAGTTCTCACAATAAGCACTAATTCTGAGAATCAAACTCAGGTGGTCTGTACGTGCTTCTACCTTTAGACATATCCATTAATGTACTCGTATTTTTCTCATGCAGTTCTTCCAAATTTCATAAACTCATGTTCTCACGTGAAGCACTAATTAGAAGGAAGATGCACCAGCCGAGAATCAAACTCATGCAGTTCTTCCAAATTCCATAAACCTTAAACCCATGTTCTCACGTGAAGCACTAATTTCAACATTTGCTAATCTAGCAGGAAGATGCACCAGCCGAGAATCAAACTCGGGTCTGTACTGTGGCAGGGTACTATTTATTCTACCACTAGACCACTGGTGCTTCTACCTTTAGACATATCCAAAACGTTCTCGTATTTTCATCAAGCAGTTTTTCCGAATTCCATATTATGAGAATCCCATGTTCTCACGTGAAGCACTAATTTCAACATTGCTAATCTAGCACAAGATGCACCAGCCGAGAATCAAACTCGGGACTATACCATGGCAAGGTACTATTCTACCACTAGACCACTGGTGCTTCTACCTTTAGACATATCCATAACGTACTCGTATTTTCGTCATGCAGTTCTTCCGAATTCCATAAATTTGAGTTTCTCCTCTCGATTTAAAAAGAAAAGCTCAATAGTGCTACTCGTGTCCGAATTCCATAAATTTGAGTTTCTCCTCTCGATTTAAAAAGAAAAGCTCAATAGTGCTACTCGTGTCATCTATAAATTAGATGAAATCGTGATAGACCCATGTTCTCAAAAAGCTCAATAGTGCTACTCGTGTCATCTATAAATTAGATGAAATCGTGATAGACCCATGTTCTCACAATAAGCACTAATTTCATCATTGTTAATCTTTAAGATGCACTAGCCGAGAATCGCGCTCGGGTCTGTATCATGGCAGGGTACTATTCTACCACTAAAGCACTGGTGCTTCTACCTTTAGACATATCCATAACGTACTCGTATTTTCATCATGCAATGCTTCCGAATTCCATAAATTTGAGTTTCACCTCTCGATTTAAAAAGAAAAAAAAGAAAAGAAATGCTCGATAGTGCTACTCGTGTCATCTATAAATTAGATGATATCGTGATAGACCCAAATTCTCACAATAAGCACTAATTTCATCATTGCTAATCTTCAAGATGCACCAATCGAGAAACGAACTTGGGTCTATACCGTAACTAGGTACTATTCTACCACTAGACCACTGGTGCTTCTACCTTTAGGCATATCCATAACGTACTCATATTTTCGTCATGTAGTTCTTTCGAAGTCTTTAAATTTGAGTTTCACCTCTTGATATAAAAAAAAAAAAAAAAAAAAAAAAAAAAAAAAAAAAAAAAAAAAAAAAAAAAAAAAAAAAAAAAAAAAAAAAAAAAAAAAAAAAAAAAAAAAAGAGATCGATAGTTCTACTCGTGTTATCTATTAATTAGATGATATTTAGTGAAACCCAAGTTCTCACATTAAGTACTAATTTCATCATTTCTAATCTTTAAATGCACCAGCCGAAAATCGACCTCGTGTTTATAACTATGCGTGTTCTGTCAGTACTACGATCATGCCACCAAGTAGAGAACCCTAACTATGCAAGGAAGCTGAAGGATTGCTTTAGAGAATTCCACACAAGAAGCCCCTAAAATAGGAATAGCCCGAAAATAGGAATAGTTCAAGCTTAGAAGGTAGAAACAGAATCACAACAAGAACTTAACCCAAGTTAAACTAGGCCTTCAGGATACCTTCAAGTTCATTAGAATCTCAACCATCTTTCATGAAGTTAACCCTTGAAACACAGGCTAGCCATAGTAGAGGCTCTTATGGCAACTCAAGGAGTGCAAGTCCCTATAAGTTTTAACTATATTAAGGACATTAGAAAGTTTGACCCACCTATATCGGATGAAGGCATAGTTGATTCGCTTCCTATATTTGATGAAAGCATGGTTGATTCAACAAAAGCGAAGGCATGACTTGATGTTATAGAGATTGTCTTCCTATATATGAACGGCTCTGAAGAGTTCAAGGTCCATTGTGCCACATGCACGCTTAAAGAAGAGGCGCATTTTTTGTGGAAGTCAGCTTCCAAGACTGTAAATGCTAAATATGGAATCATCCCTTGGAGTTGTTTTAAGGAGGCATTGTGAAAGTACCATCTTATTACCGTTGCCATGTAAAAAAAAATCAAGAAGCCTTCTTAAGCCCTAAACAACGAGAGAGACTATAGAAGAATATGATTTGAAGTTCACTAAGTTATCTAGGTTTTCCTTGAATTTAGTAGACACGGAGAAGAAAAAGGACTCTCTGTTTCATGATGGGCCGAAGAGAGAATATAAAAAGATGAGTAGCGACTCATGCCTCAAGCGACTATGCAATTGCAATAAAGGCAACCACTCTGGTAACATGCACAACCAAAAGAACAAGAAAGTGTAGCAAGTAAGACACAAAAGAGAACATGACAAGGACGCTCCAAAGACCCACCAAAGGCCCCATAAGCGAAGCAACAAGCGGCGAGCACAGGAGGAATGTAATAGCCCAAATAAGTAAATAAACAAATAAAAATTATTATTTTGTTTTAAAAAATATAATAATAAATTAATAAATAAATAAATAATAAAAAAAATTCTTCCTACCCCTCTCCCCTAGCTGCCTATCCATTTCCCAATAATCTCCCTCCAACCCACCTCACAATTCCTCCGAAATGAAGCAGAAACAAAAAAAAATGTCATATTTGAGAAAACAAAAATGTCTATCATGAGATTTACAAGCTGCAGATCTACATTTGAGAAAACAAAAATGTCCATCATCAGATTTACAAGCTGCAGATCTACCTTGGAAAGAGATCTCGCCTATAAGTTATATTTCGACCTTCTTTTTTCGAAATCAATTTAGATTTTTTTCTCTTATTCAATTTTTTTTTTTTTTTTTTTTTAAGTTCAAATCACTCGAGAATCAATGAAATTTTAGTTAGGAGTTTTAATAAATCACAATCTAAGATCCATAGTCAAATAATGATTAAAAAATTGGTCTGGAATATATTAAAAATGAAAATAAAATAAAATAAGGAAATACTGGCCAAGAATACTTGTTAATTAAACTCTCAGCCAATTAAAATAAAATAAGGAAATACAAAGATTACTGGGAAGTAAGAAAAAATAAAAAATACAGAGAGGAAGAAAGGTAAAATTTTGGAAACAAAAGGAATTAACCAAATTAGCCAATAAATAACATTAATACTTCAAGCCTAACTTTAGTCTCATGCCATCACCGCGATGTCGTCATCCGTGCAAAGGTGTCTCATGTCATCACCGCGATGTCATCATTCGTGCAAAGGTATCTTGCCTTTACTTGAAAAGTAAGAGTAACACGTGGCTTCAGTATTTTAAAAAATATTAAGTGACCCTACTACTAGAGTCAGGAAATGTAAACACATGCAATCGTGTTTGGGACCTATCATTAAACATCAGTTCATGGTTTTGGTCTCAATTTCTAGTCCGTGTATAATTAGATGTGTAACACTCCTCTAGACATGGCCAAAGTACGCGCACATGGACCATAGGTGGGCTCATATACGTACCTCAAGGACTTGGCCTTCAACAAGCATACACCCTCATTGCTGGTATACCATAGAGAGAAGGGAGCGCGCATAATACTGTGGTGTATATAATACTGTATCATAACATCATGACAAACATAAATGTCGTAAGGTACAATCATGGAATGTTTCTATGATGCAATACATATCTTTGTTTGTTTCATACATAACATAATTATTACATGTCATTACATAAGGTAAAAGTACACTAAGGAAACATACTATCATAATATGTCACATTCATCACTAATATAACGAGTAAACATGATATTTCTTAACATGATATTTCTCATATCATCACATCATAACATAATAAGGACACACAACAAACACAAGGTATGACACGTGCAAGGGTCACAGGATATGCGTCGCCTATACTTCAAACAATTCATCCAATCAAAAAAATAGTGAAGTCATTTACTTGATTGACCACCATTAATGTTCGTTAGATCTCTTGATAATAGCCTAATATTGATTCTTGAATATTTATGTAATATTCTAAGCTCACATGTGGAATGCGGAAGGTAACTCCTAAAATATCATTATTTATGTAATAAATTTTAAAAAAAATGAATCAATTCACGTAAAGGTAAGGCGTCCATGCAGGTGCATGTTCCATTTACATGCTACATCTATTCCACAAGTTCTCAATTTATCCTCAATGACTTAATCAAGCCCTTTTTTTTAAATTTTATTATTATTATTATTATTTTCATAAATTTGAGAATGAAATATTGTGCTAAAATTTGATTGGATACTCGATATTCCTATAAAATTCTCTAGAAGATGAGCATAAAACAGGCATCTTGTTGGGATTTATGCCCTAAAGCCTCGTGATTAATTATTTAGTTTTTAACAATAATTTATATTATTTTATTTGTAATTTAATTGTTATCCATGGTATGAAAATCCAAGGTTATTAATGTAATCTTGAGCAGTATGTGGTTGGCATACAAGAGGATCGTGTTCAAGTAATAACCTAAAGAGTCTGTAGTATATGGATAAGATTGGGTGCCTTATCCTAGTAACACTATTGATACGGCCCACTTTGTAATCGTTAAAAATGATTTGATCCAAATCGTTCATGTGAAGACATGTAAGTGGGGGTATCCTATACAATGAGTTTGTATAAGACTGGACCAAGAAATATTTAATCTCTCTTTGTAAATCCGTTAATTGAGAATATTAATATTTCACATGATGATCATATGCGACTCGATCTTAATCCTGAATGAGTTATGAACTCTTGCCTGTGAGTGCTTGTCCTTTAATTTACATGGGTGAGAATGACTCTCTTAGCCAATCCAATATGCCTACTATTTTGGGGACTTCACCCAATAGGGAGTTGGGAACAGAATATCATGAGATGGAATTCACTCCTTTCCATATCAGGAAAGTAGATTAGTTGTTCTCTTAAGTACTGATTTTAGGACTTGAACAATGGGCCCCACCCTCTCATTGGCCCGAGAGGAACTTGGTTTACGATTGGATCTTAGACAAATTGTTCATTAGAGAATCAGTGGTACTTGCAGTGAAAGATGTAATTACAGGGGTAAAACGGACTTTTGACCCAGTTGTAATTATGAACAACTCGTGAAGGATCGACTTGCTTGTAATGATTATATCGATGGACATAACTTGTTCTCCAGTGCATAAGAGTGCAACTCTAGGTTTACAGTGGAGTGACCTATAGTTAATTAATGGAAATTAATTAATTAAAGAGTTTAATTAATTAATTTTGTATCACTAGAGCTTATAATCGGTAGGTCCATAAGGTCCCCTTTCTAGATCATAGTAACACTAAAAGGTTCAATTTATTTGAAAGAAAATTTGAAGTGTTCAAATTGATATTTAATATATTAGATATATTAAATATAAAGGAGAAAATAAATTTAATTTGAAATATTCCATTAATATTTAATAAATAGAAAATACATTTGAAGTGTTCAAATTAATATGTAATATATTAGATAGGTTAAATATAAATGGAGAAAAATATATTAAATTGAAGGGTTCAAATTAATATTTAATATATTAGATATATAAAAAGGAAAAATATATTTATTGTATTTGATACAATTAAATATGGAACGAATTAATGTATTTGATACATTAAACAAAAAAAAAATATATATTTGAAATTTGAATTAGATTCAAATTAATTAAATATATATTAGGATATCTTATAATATCTAAATATGATTTATATGAGTTATAATATTCTAATATATTAAATATGTAAATATATTATTTGGCAATGATTCTCTGAGAGTCCCTATGAATAGGACCCTCGGGATGAGCAACATACAGCAATCTCTCCCACTTTCTTTGGAGAATGAAATTACATCTCCAGAGAATTCTCGAAACTCTTCTTCTCCGATCCCTTTGTGATTTTCTTTCAATAGGCTCCCACAAGCCTTGACCTTGTGTTCGAGTCATAGTAAGGAAGATCTTGTGGAATGCTGAAAAACTTCTACATGGTTGGAATACTCCGAGGAGTCTTGCAAGCGAGGGTTTCTACAAAGGTAGAGTTCTTACTCTTCTATTTATTACTTTGTTTTAATTCTTAATAAAAATCAAAACGGTTCCCAATGCTTCCGCTACGTGGATGAAGAGTTCATTCCCTTCACATCTCTATAGACACGACATACCATGCTACTTATTTATCTTTTCTATGTATAATTGTGCTCACTTATCTACGGACATAATTACTATGAAATGTACTTATTTAATCATTCTATCTTTGATGACCTAAAGTATTGAGTAATCATTTTCTTGTTTTGGAAACCATGAGGTGACTATCATAGTCGATATACAAAAGTATACCTAGTCTAATACAATAAGTGGTAACCACAAAGAGGCAACAATGATTTTTACTCTTCTAGTTAGAGATTGTAAGCAAATATGACAATGGTTATTTTGTAGTAACAAGTGAAAATGAGAAGAGTAATGTCGAACATACAAGGAAGGTTTGGGTTAGGAATTCGTCACATAGTTTTGAACTATATTACTCGTGAAATCCTCAATATTTACACGGGTTCCTTCTGAAATCCATTAGATAGTAATTTAATTTCTACAAAATTGCATATGATTAGTACGTTAAGCTCTTCTGTAGACTCCAAGCAAACATGAAATTAGAACTAATATGTTTAAGAATGGTCTAAGCAATCTGTTTGTAGGCTCTCATTGAATCTTATCTTATATTCAATGTTTTCAAATCTATATGTTTTTGTATGGGCCGTAGAGTAAGCCAATTTCGTATCCTTCATCACTACAATCGAGTAAAAGAGATAAACTAAAGAGCCTCTCACGTGTAGAAAGGTTTTTGATGTTTTCTTGGACAACCACCACTAGTATTGGAATTTTTTTATGGCTAATTTCTTGAGAAAATAAGAGAATTTTTGAAACCAATATTAAGGAACAAAAAAAATAGTTGTTGTTGATGGAGGTTCAATGCGAAGACAAATGTTGTTGTTAGTTGAGGTTGAACGAACACGAAGAAGCGCACTTGCGTGCAACTATTCTTTCTTAGAATTGATCACGAACAAGCTTGTAATGACCCGACTTTCTAGAAGTGGAAAATTGGGATAGTTATTAAGCCTTAAAATGTGAAAAAGGATATTTAAAAATTTACTTTACCAACTCCATGGATTTCACTAGTTTAGGATCAAACAAAGTATTTTCTAAATGTTTAAAATTTTCATGTTCAATTTGTAAATGTTTAAATATCAAATCTCGAGAACTAAAAATTTAATTTTCTTTTTAAATTTTATTTCATGTAACTTTTCAAGATTTATGTATTATTAAAAAAGTGTTGTGAATGGTTTTGTTTATAATGTTGTCTAAATCTTAGAAATTAGTGTTGCTGTCAATTCACTACAACAAATAATAGATACGATAGCTTACGAAAAATGTTATTGTAGACTTTTTATAACATTTTTCGTACGTCGTGACAGCTCATATTATTAAAAGTCTAAGACTTTTTATAGCTTTTTTTTTTTATACCTATAATGGATGCTATAATAGATTATGAAGCTATAGCTTATATAAGTTGTTATGAAAACCTTTTATAGCACTTTTTTAGAGCTATAATAGGTTTAAGATATATGCTGTCTTTAAATTTATAATAACATTTTTTTAATGTTATAATATAATATTTAAAACTTTAATCTTATGTTATAATAATACTATTTAATCTTTAGGCTCAACAATATTTTCTTTAATATAATCTAACTCAAGAGATATTATAATGTATTTACAGTGTATTCAATTAGATGTACATAAGTTTTAAGAAACACATTACTAAAATCTACAAAAGAATAGAGACAATAACAGTGTCTAAGCTCTCCAACTCTTTTAACACGTTGAGCAGCCGATTCCTTACTAGTGCATTATCTTTTTAGGAGCGCTACCTTTCTTAAGTATCTGATATTTGAGTAGGCATAATATCCCAACTTTACCATCAAAAATATTGTTTCCAGCAGCACGTTCACTCTCTTTTATCGCTTTATTCCTCCTGCATCCTCTGTACACAATCAATAATGAAGATATCAACATTGCTTTCATGTACTTCTTGGACTTAGCTTGATTTGTTAAGAGAAGAAAATCATAATTGCATTCATCCATCATAACCTCCACAAAACACACTTTTGTTATCCATTAGCAAGTGAAATGAGAAGAATGAAACATAAATTACGTATTCCATTTGATTATTACGAATATTGCAACATTATTTCACAATACTGCAAAAACCAACACCTACATTTTCTTAATCAAGAGGAGTAAGACAGATAAATAGTTAAAAACTATAACAAAACAAATAAAAAATGAAAATTGAATTTTCTGGCAATGTCCAAAGGAATGTGGAGTATTAGTTAGATTTTTCCAATGAAATAACATCTTGAATTGTAGCATCTCATACAATCACCTTTAGATGCCAATCCTTCCCTCTTGATTGAGATCAACTCAAGAAGGTCAAAGTAAAACAACAGAGCATGGCCTTCAAGGATGCCAGAGTAAAAATAATCTAAACAATTTTCCTCCTTGATTTTCTACTAACAACCATTTGTACGACCATGTTTAGGTGTAACATCGTATACAGAAATGTTGCTTAAACTTTATATAAATGGTATGTTGTAATTTGCTTATAGAAAAATAAAATTTGACCGAGTTTCATTAATGTTCTTGTTTTAAAAGTACACAAACAGAAAAGAACAGAAAACTCTTTGTTTTTAAAGCATTTATCACAGTATGAAGTTTCTTCTTTGTTGCTACTACAAAAGGTAACAATAGACAGGGTACAACTCAAATGATCTAAACAAGCTCATAACAAATGTGGTGTGCAGAAACTATCAAGTTCGAAAGACTAGTTAAGTATATTATAAAATAAAAAAAAAATAAAAAAAAACTATCCTGTTCAAACTAGTTTTTTTTTCATATAACATCCATATATAAATTTTACTTGAACTCCACAGTCTTACATGAGTCCTACATGATTTCCCCATTTGTTCCATCTTGCACCAACCAAACCAAACTTATGTATGGGGGCTCAAGTTGGTAAACAACCAAGAATATAGCTAATACAAATAATACTCTCTCATGCTTTTGTTTAGGCCAAACCAACATAATCAAGAAATGTATTACTTAATTATGATAAACAACTAAGAATGTAGTAGAGATACTGTAATAGAAAAATTGTAATAGAAAAATTTGTACCTGAATTAGGGACTTGGAGCAAAGTATGACCTAAAGATGATTTGTGAATCTTTGCTTTAAAGCTGCTCCATGAGGGATTCAAGTATCTCAAGTGTCCGTAGAATCTCATTTCTGCTGAGATACCTTCTAATCTATTCCTTGACAAGTCCATCCTTGTGAGTTTCTCATCTAGTTTGTTTGATCCTACTGGGACTAAACCAATTAGCTCAACCAATCAGCTCGTTCTGAGACAAATTAATCTCCTCCAAACCCAGGTCATGAATGGCTGAATTGATTGCTCTGCAGCTTGAGCTCTTTCAGGTTATGGATAGCTTAAATCCCTTGTGGTAAATATCTAGATAGAACATTTTTGGAAGATCCAATGTCGTGAGCCTTGTCGAACACCAAAAATCCAAGGTACCAGAAAATTGATTGGCTGAAAGATTCAGAATGTTTAAATACAAACACCTTGTGGGCAATGTGTTGGGGACAAGGCCGAAGCATATTAGATACAAGAGAAAGATAATGAAGCGAAAGTAATTCCTTTTTCCTCACGAACCGGTTTCGAACCACCACTAGTGTCTTCTCCACTATCCTCCGGCCTTAGAACGAGATTGTGGAATCCGGTGAGTGACTAAACTTGGGAGGGATTTTGTATATATGAAGAGAGTGTTTATGAGAGGCTTTTCTCAAAGTTTTTCACCAAGGAAGACCTTCCATGTACCATGATCACTCTATTTATAGAGTTATGTTTGCATGTTCATGCAAATTTGAGATCACCAAATTTTGACACTCAAAATTCCACTCAAATGTTTGGGATTACGTGGCAAACATGCAAGTTTGAGTTCACCAAATTTTGACACTCAAAATTCCACTAAAATTTGTGGGGTTTATTTGGCAAGCATGCAAGTTTGGTTAAACCAAATTTTGACACCTCAGAATTCCACTAACATGGATTTTTCCATTAAATGAAGTCAACATTTTGACTTTCTTCATCTTAATTCAACCATTAATTTGAATAATTAATTTCAAATTAAAGTAATATTAAATGATTAATTAAACTATTTAATTAATATTTAATATTAATTCAAATGTCAATCCCAATCAATTCGGAAGCATATTTGATTAAGATATTTAAATCTTATTTAAATATCTTAGATTCTCTCTTTTTGTTTAATCGTAAATAAAACAAAAATGCGGTTAAATATATCGTATATATGTAGCGCATATTCCCTAATTTGAACTCGAACACTTTGAACTCACTCGTCACACTTGTTCTATGGTTTAGTTCGATATGAGCTAGCAGAGGGACCTAATGGACCTATAGATCATGGGCTCCAACGATCCAAGATTAACCGGTTAAACTCATTAACCTTGTTAACCAAGATTCGTTAACTACTAGGACACTCCAGTATAGCTTACTAGTTGCACTCCCCTCACTATAGATATATTTCTATCCATTTGATATAACCATGATTAGTAAGTCGATCCTTCACAGGTTGTTCGTAACTAAAGCTGGGTCAATTTACCGTTTTACCCCTGAAGTTTCTTCTTGTTCCTTATGTCTCACTGATCCTCTAATGAACAATTGGTTTATGGTCCAGTCAGTAAACCGAATCCCTCTTTGTGCGATGAGAGGGTGGGGTCCCTTGTTCAAGACCTGGAGTTAGTGCTTAAGGAAACTACCTCTCTTCTATCCCTAAAAGTGGGTAGGAGTGAATTTCATCTTGCACCCCACGTCCCCAGCCATTCACCCAGTCTTACCTCTAAAATGGGAGGCCTATTAAGTCGGCGAAATCGAGCCACTCTCACCCATGCAAATCGAAGGATAATTTCGAATAAACAGGAGTTCATGGTTAGCTCAGGATTAAAATCGAGTTACCTAGGTCATCGAATGAAAAGAAAATCAGTCTCAACAGTAAACGACATTATAAAGTGAGAGTGATTTTCTTCATGGTCCGATCTTATGCGATACTCATTGCATAGGATACCCCCACTCACATGTCTCCACATGTACAATTTAGTGATCACATTGTTTATGTCATATACAAAAGTAGGCCGCATCTATAGTGTCCCCAGGATAACGTACTCAGCCTTATCCCCATACTATAGATCATTTTGACTATATACTTGAACTTGATCCACTCTTATGTCTCTACATATAGTTCAAGTAATCATACTATAGTTAGAGTGTTCTTAGTTTATTGGATTTAGATTAATAATCGTAAAGTTCACTTTATTCAATAACGATCTTTACTGAATAAACAACAATAATAACTTTATTGAAAATAGTATATGTTTTTGTTTACAAACTATGAGTTTTAGGACATAAAATCCAACAATTCGCTTCCTCCTCTACCGCATGTGAGGATTCTCTGTGGCTCCTGTAAGGATTCGAATTTTTGTTTTATTTATTTTAGATTTTAGGCTAAGATTTTATTTTTGCTGCCAAAACGAAAAGATATTATGCTACATTTATTGTCGCCGGAAATTGTATGATTTCTAGCAAGGAAATTACTGCCTTAATGGAAAAGTCATAAAGACCTTTTATATTCCCATACACAACTCTCCTCCTTCCTTGGAAATAACTTTTGCTCTCCAAACGTTTAGGGTCTTCGAGGGTGTCTGAGAGTACGGAAAAATCGAGAGGGTTAGCCAGGAAAAACGTGTGAGGTGGTTCGCTGGATTTTCTTCGGTGAGTGGCCGGAGGGAGAAGCGACCGAGGCTATCGGTGTTGAATATCGTTGCGCGTCGGTCGGAATAGGCGGGGGGTGTCGTCGCATCGTCGGAATCGGGGTTGTGACGTCGCCGTTGGTGGCGCAGCAACGATTAGGGTTTTCGTGAGATTTCGGGTAAGGAAGACGAAGGAAAACGGGTCGGGTTCACGTTCGGCCTCTGGACCAGCCCACGGGACGAACGCGGGCTCTGTGCGTTTCGGCCCAATGCGGACGCGCACTGCAGCCTTGGTCTCGGCTCCGCACGCGTGCTCTCGGCTCGGCTTGACGTGTACGGCGGCTCGGCTCCGTCAAATCCCGCAGCTCAGCTCGGCGGCTTAATAGGTCGGCTCGGCAGCTCAGCTTGGTGAATCGGTATCACTATAATATATCGATTCCAAGGTTTTTGGCCCTTCCGAAGCCGTTTCTGCCCTTAGTTTTACCATCCGAGGTCAGTATGGCTCCTAAACGTTAAAGACAGATTTGGTCGAGGGTTTATTTTGATAAATAGCATGAGGTTTAGCTAGGGTACCTTATGAAAGGTTCGAAATTTTTATGTGGTTATCAAAGGACATATTTAACCACTGGGATTAGCTCGTCGTGAGTGACTTCAACGAAGACCATCGAGGTAAGTGACCTTACTGTTGGAGTTAGCTTTCTACGTGTTGTACGATGGTGCGTGCCCTGTGGCCCCTGCGCACCATATTTTATGTGATATGATTATGTGATGTATAGATTGTGTTGACCGTAGATTGTGTTTGTTATGTGATGTATGAACTTGTGTTGATTGTTGACTGTCTATGGTATGTCATGAATGAGATGTTAGTATTATATGCCATGAATATGTTGATTGATGTCATAGATACACGTAGAATTATCGAGTCATGTCATGAGATGTTTATGCAACTGGAATGTTTATGTAATATGCCATGTAAAGTCATGTGAGATGCCATGTGATGTAAGAAACGTAAATGCGATGTTAGCACTGCTTATGTAATGCCATGTTAGATATGTTAAGGGACCTCATGCATATATGTATGTCACGTGCATCGGGATTCTTCCCCTTTATGATACGAAAGAATGAAATACGATATTTATGTTCGCCATGATATCATGCGGGCCCTTTTCTATTCTGTGGTGTCCGGCTACGTGTAACACGTTGTGCCCGACCAAGTCAGGCCCAGGGGGTACGTATAAGAGCCCGCCTGGTGGGTTCATGTACACGTACATGGGCCATGTGTGAAGGAGTACCACACATCCAACCCTACCCGGAATAGAAAAGCGCCCAAGGCTATGAAAAGTTTATGAAAAGTTAGGTCCCGCTCATATGTTGCATGTGTTTGCATTCCTAACCCCAACAGTGGGGTGACTTACTTAGTATTTCATAAAATACTCAAGCCACGTGCTACCTACATTTTTCAGGTAAAGGCAAGGCGCCAATGTACGGTTGACGGTGGAGCTGAGGCCACCACGTGCTACCTACATTTTTAGGAGTTTACTTTTATTAGATTGTTTTAAGTTATAGGATTGAGTATCGTTTTATTTGGATTTATTTTGAATTCAGTATTGAAGGTTCATTTTCGGAGTTTAGGTTTTGTTTTGGATTCATGAATTTTTATGAAAGACTATTTCAAGGTTATTCATGATGAGCTTCCGCTTAATGAGATAAGTATGCATGGGTGACGTCACTAATTAGGTTAAAGAAAATTAGGGGCGTTACAGCTCCATTTTGTAAAAATCTCTTCAGAAAAACTTTGAAAATGCTCAATTTCTGGACTTGGTTCTTAAGACATTATCTATTCCCTCATCCCTCTTTTTGACATAAAACCAATACGTTTGCAGCTGCCTTCACTGTTTTCCCACTAGCTGAATAGGGTCGCTTATTGTTTCAGTAGTTGATCTATACCTTCTACCGTACTACTGTTCCTTCTATTACCACAACTCAGGTTTTCCTTATGGGTTTCTATGTAATCCATCAGATTTCTTGTCTCGAGTGTTTCTTCTTCCTCATCAAAAGGTAGTGTCGCTTCTAGGCACAACATGGTTATCAGCGGTGGATAAAACAACTTTTCCACCCTCTTACTTGCACATTTGACAATCTCATCCGCTACAATCTTGTCCACATCAATACTTAAATTAGTCATGGTTGCGTACATCAGCAAAACTCTATCAGTAGACAATGTAGTATCATGTGGGGTGTGTAGGTTGGTCTTTACGAAGGCAGCTCAAACTTTTGTTTCCATGTTGAGGTCTGCTGCTACTATAGTTCTTGCTCCTCCTCTTCAGATCTGCCACTGTATTCCTCCAATGGCTATCATCTCCACGACTATTTCAAGCTGCTCATCCGATGGAGCTAGTACCATTTTGTTGAAGGTGGTGTGCTCAAAAGATGGTAGGTGAAACATTTGGTTGATAGCTTTAAGACTTCAATCAACCATTTTCCTCTCATGTTGTTGTGTACCCTTCTACTTGATCAACATGTGTGTAAAACTCCTTCACTATAGGCACTATAGCTTGCTCTCTATGGTGACAGAACATCTCCCATCCAAAGTCGGTGATGGCATTTAGAAAGAATTCAAGAAATGTAGGATATATTACGGGGAACCTTCTTTCCAACAACATTTATTTTGAACTGAGGAGCTCGTACTTGTTGTATGCGTTTTCGGTTGCAAATCTGTCTATTTGTGTTGTATGGTTCCCCTTCCCTTTTTCTTTTCGATCCGGGGCTAGTGAGGAAGGAGTCTTGGTTTATCTCTTCTAACTCATCTTGTTGCATTTATCTTATTCCTCGCACCCCCTTTTGTTTGAATGAGCTAGATGCTCGTACTCTTGCTAGTGTTTCTATATCTTCCCATTGTGTCGACGTTGCACCTTCAAGCTCCCCTTGCACCGCTTGCTTCCCTCTAGTTCTCAGTGTCATGATTGTAGTTTGCAAAGTGAATGTTTTCTAGTATGATTGCTTCTTGAGTTTGAAGGTGATTTGGAAGAGTTGTGTGATTTTTTTGGTTGAAGAAGTTACTATATAATTGACTCTATACCTTTCTTGTGCAACTCTGAGTTTGGCCTCTCAAGAGATGCTTCAGTAGTGAGCAGACTGCCCTCGTAGATGCCTATACTGTCTCTATTGCTGCCAAACTACCTAGTTGTAGACTGTACTGCCCAGCTGCTGACTACACTACCGAGTTGCTGACTCTACTGTCTTTTCTTGCACAGACTACTGCTGTAATGTGTGCAAGTCTGTCCACTTGCTACTCTTCTTGCACCACCCTTGTTGTCTACTCATTTCTAGCTTACCCATTTTTTCTGCAAACTGCACAATAATTTTTTTTTTTTATTTCTCTTTTTCCATGCAGATTTCTTTTATTGGGGTGGCTAATCTTTTAGGATTGATTTGGATCTTTTTCTTAAAAAAGAATTCTTGGTGTTGGTGTTGCATGAGAAGGAGTTCAACATTTAAATAAAATACAACCACATGCAAATAAGGATGTACAAGATAGCTATGTGGCAACGTGCACTATAAAAGAATACAATTAGTCTCCTTACTATGCTAAAATTTTCTTTCCTAACCACATCTAAATCTCCTTAATAAATCTACAAAAATTGGCTAACTTCCTTGGGGCATGTGAGTCATTCACCACAAAAGGAAAAAAAAAAAAACTATCATTTTAAGTAAAGATAACTATTTAAAAACAACTATGTAAATGCATAAATAACAAGAGAAGAAAAACTAACTTGGCTTCTCCTAAGCTTGTTACCTGTTTACCGTTCTTTGTCAACTCCCTTTGTCACAAAATGTTTTTTCAGCTCAAAAGAGGCAATGCCTAATTTTACTTCTCCACCATCTGTCCATTCACCGTGAAGGGTTTCCTTTCATCTCCATGTTTTATCATTATTGCCTCATAGGGAGTGACTTCTTTAGCTATAAACGGACCAAACCATCTTGATTTTAATTTTTGAGGGAATAATTTCAGCCTTGAGTTGAATAGCAACACTCTTTGTCCCTTGTAGAACTCCTTGGACACAATTTTGTTGTCATGCAAATTTTTTGTTTTTTGTTTTATATTTTAGCATTTTTGTAGGGTAGTGCCTAAGTTCATCTAACTCATTTAGTTGCAGTCGTCTCAAGTCTTGATATGCAACATAGTCAAAATTTAACTTCTTTAATGCCCAAAATGCTTTATGCTCCAATTCTAAGGGTAGATGGCATGTCTTTCAAAAAACTAGTTTGTAAGGGGACATTCCTAAAGGAGTTTAGTATGCCCATAATGCATCATCAAGTTTCACAGACAAATCTCTTCAGTTGGGTTGTACAACTTTTTTCAAAATATTTTTAATTTCTCTTTTGGAGATCTCTGCTTGTTCATTGGTTTATGGATGATCCTGTCACTCAATATTTTACATTGTATCTCTCTAAAAGGCTATTCATCAATTTCTTCACAAAGTGTGTTTCCTCATCGCTGATTAGTGCCCTTGTGTTAAGAATGAGAAATAGAAATAGAATTGGGATCGAAAGTATGATCTTCATTCAGGTTTACCACGTTTAAATAGGATACAAACTATCAACTAATACCTAAAAATAGAAAAATATATATCTAATTAAATCTGGTAAATAAATAAAATATACGGTTAATCAAATCTATACTAACAACTTTCTAAATATCTAAGATATATTCTAACCAATTCTCACGGCAAAATATCCTCTTAATACTCCCCCTCAAGTTGGAGAGTGTATGTCGATCACACCCAACTTGTCCTTCAAAAAGTCAAATTGCTGTCTTCCCAAAGCTTTAGTAAAAACATCTGCCAATTGCATTTTGGTCGAAACATAACACGGTTTGATGATTCCAGCTTGTAATTTTTCTCGAACTATATGACAATCTATTTCAATGTGTTTCGTACGTTCATGAAAAACTGGATTGGCTGCTATATGTAATGCTGCTTGATTATCACAATATAATAATGCTGGTTCGGACAGTGGAACATTCAAGTCTTGAAGAATGTATCTTAACCAAGTTAACTCTAAACAAGTATTTGCCATAGCTCGATACTCGGCTTCTGCTGATGATCTGGACACATTAGTCTGCTTTTTAGACTTCCAAGAAATAATTGAATTTCCGAGGAAAATGCAGAACCCAGAAATAGATCGTCTGGAAGTTCGACAACCACCCCAGTCAGAATCGCAATATGCCTGTAATCTTAAATTGTTTTCAGATGGCAGTAGAAGTCCTTGACCAGGAGTGCCTTTAATGTACCTCAGAACTCGAAGAGCTGCCTCCCAATGTGGTTTTCTTGGTTCATGCATAAATTGGCTAAGCATACGAACTGAATAAGCTATGTCAGGCCTAGTGACGGTCAAATATATTAATCTGCCAATCAACCGTCTGTATTTACTTGAATCATTCAACTTCTCTCCTTCGGTTAAAGAAAGTTTCAGATTTTGCTCCATAGGAAATTTGTCTGGACGTGCTCCTGTAAGACCTGTGTCTTGAAGGATGTCTAGAGCATACTTCCTTTGAGACATAAAAATTCCTTTTCTAGATCGAGAAAATTCAATGCCTAGAAAATATTTCAAATTTCCTAAATCTTTGATAAGAAATTTCTGGAGTAAACTAGTCTTGAGATATTGAATTTCTTCAAGATCATTGCCTGTCAACAGAATATCATCAACATAGATTAGAACTGCAGTGAAAGAAGTACCTTTACTCTTAGTAAACAAAGAGTAATCTGCTTTGGACTGAGTGTAGCCTGCATTTTGTATAGTTGTAGAAAATATGGAGAACCAATTGCGAGAAGCCTGTTTTAATCCATAAAGAGATTTATGGAGCCGACATACTGTATTCTCCCCCTGTCGGCGAAGACCTGGTGGTAAAGACATATAAACTTCCTCGTCTAGATTACCATGGAGAAAGGCATTTTGAACATCCAACTGATGGGTGAACCATTTTCGAGCAGCAGCAACAGTGAGTAAGCAACGAAGTGTAGTAAGTTTCGCTGTAGGGGAAAATGTTTCTGTGTAATCAATACCTTCAACCTGAGTGTACCCCTTTGCTACTAGTCGAGCTTTATAACGTTCAACAGAACCATCAGAGTTGTATTTAATTTTGTACACCCAACGACAACCAATAGCTTTATGACCAAGTGGTAGAGGAACGAGAGACCATGTATGATTACGTTCCAAAGCTGCAATTTCATCATTCATAGCCTGCTGCCATAACGGGTCGCCAACTGCCTCGTCATAGGTTTTAGGTTCTGTCTGGGATGTAATAAGAGCTAGAAAAGCACGTTGAGTAGGAGAAAAACGAGAGAATGAAAGGTAATGATGAAGGGGATACCTGGTGCCAGTGCCGGGACTTGAGCTAGAGGTTAAATGATTGGCTCCAGAAGACATCTCATAATCCTTATGCCAAGCTGGAGGCTGTTTAGTACGAGTAGAACGTCGAAGTGGAGCTGATGTATCAGGTGGGATAGGATTGGAATTAGTGGGCGAATCTGGAGAAGGTGGAGGAGACGACGGAGTAGTAGGTGAAGGGATAGGAGGTGAAGGAGGAGTAGGAGGTGAAGGAGGAGTAGGAGGTGAAGGTGGAGGATGGATGTTTGAGTAGGATGGATCATGAAGTGGTACAACAGGAGTCGAAGGAGCTAATGTCGAAGTTTGTGAAGCTGATGAAAAAGGAAAATCATCTTCACAAAATTTGACATCACGGCTGATAAAGAATGTGTGAGATTGCATGTCATACAACTTGTAACCTTTATGACCACAAGGATATCCTACGAAAACACAAGGAGTTGCCCTAGGTTCAAATTTTTGCTTAGGATGTACTATAGTTGCATAACATTTACAACCAAAAACTTTAAGATGATGAAATGTAGGTGGTCGTTTGTAGAGTGCTTCAAAGGGTGTCTTGTTAGATAATAATGGTGATGGCGTTCTATTTATAAGATAAACAGCCGTTAAAATGCACTCTCCCCAAAAATTAAGTGGAACCTGTGACTGAAAAAGAAGAGACCTAGCTACATTTAGGATATGGCGATGCTTGCGTTCTACGACTCCATTTTGTTGTGGAGTATAGACACAAGTGCGCTGAAATTCAATACCACAAGAAGTAAAGAATGGTTGCAAAGATAGGAACTCAGTCCCATTGTCTGATCGAACTATCTTGATAGTAGTATGAAATTGAGTTTGAACGAATTTAACAAAGTTCATCAACAAATGATGTACTTCTGACTTATGTTGCATTAAAAAAAACCAAGTACATCGAGTAAAATCATCAACAATAGTGAGAAAAAAACGCAAACCGGAATGGGTAGGAATTTTATGTGGTCCCCAAACATCACAATGTATCAGATCAAAAGCAGAATGGGTTGTTATTGAACTTCTTGGGAAAGACAACCTAGTTTGTTTTGCTAACGGGCAGATACT